TAAGATTACCATCTTGAACTTGAGATAGCAACTGAAGGCACTGAAACTTCTAAGCCTGAGATACTCCTGCTATTTTAGCTTCCTCTTTGGAGCTGGTTAATAAAATCTGAAGGAGTGTAAGGTAGTTCTGTCAGTTCTTATGCTGAACAGTTCTGAGCTCTCAAACAGAAGGTCTTAACACATTCTGGACCCTAGACTCCTTTTGGAAAGCCAAACCTCATAACCAGGAAAACTCGCATACCACTGCTGTAGCCATGGCTCCCGAGGCAGTGTTGATGACATTCAAGACTGTTTCTAGGCAAGTCTAAGTGGCCAACTGCCCCTCAACAAGGGATAGGCGGTTTTCCCCCTGTTTCGAATACGACACATTTGCATATGTGGAAGGCATATCTGGTGAGGAGAGCTTGATACTTCACTATGCTAAACAGCAACTTAGTAGAAGAGTGACTTTCTTAGTAGAAGAGTGACTTTCTTCTGATTAAGTCCAAAATATTAGGCTTCTCTTTTGGGGTTGACCTCAGCTTGCTCATGAGCAGTAGTCACCACCAAGGGAAGATGATGCATGGTAGGGATACAAATACTTTGCCCCTTTAGATGGTAATTTTTGCTCATCCTTTTAGCAGTTGAAGGAAAAGTAGCCAGCATCTCCCAAACCGTTTTGTCAGAATCCATGATGGCCTCATAGCCTGGGCTGCAGTGATGCATGATGTCAACTAGTCTGTGTGAAAGCTCACTGATTTGAAGCAACTGTGACACTTGGCACACTGATTCCTGAAACTTCTGAAAAATATCTGTGTAATGGAGCTACTGGAGGACAAAATTCTTATCTGGGACCTGTGTCAACAGGATCAGTGGGCATCTGGTTGAGAATGAAACAGCAATATTTTTACTAGATCCAAAAGTCTCTTTTCTGTTTTGAGAAGTAATAATGACTAGTTTGATCCCAATAATGTTAATATTCTCCATCACTGTGTTACTTCCCTGCCAGTTTCATCCTTGGCCCATGACTAATTTCAAAGATATAGTTTTCTAAATAATTTGCTATTTGTGTCTTGAAAACCACCACTTGCATAAACTAATGTAAAAAAATCTATGTTTTAAAATAGTTGGTTTAATGCAATTTCATTGAATAAACTGAAGGACAAAGAAAACTAACATTTAACAATTATTTTTTAAAAGAGCAATATGAAATCTTAATTTCAAAAAGAAATAACTGTTTAATCTAAATTTCTGAAAGTGTTTGTACTGTTAATTCATAAGAATTTCCTTTTTCATTGTATTTGAGAGTATGACCCTGACTTACCTGATAAATATTTAACTTGAGCCATTAGATAGAGAGGCTCCATCATGCCAGGGACAGCTTTAACCACTGGATTCAAAATTATAGATGCTTGCTTAAGAATAGGAGATATAATTTGACCAGGTGACCGAGGCTATGAAAAAGTAAGAATAAAATGTCCTTGTTACTTATTTCCAGAACTGTATTATACGGCCCATGCTTTCAAAAGGAAAATCAATTAGTGTCTAACCCCCCGCTCTGTTTCTACATATGCACCCTAGTAAAAGCAAGAGAAGTTATGCAAGAGAAATGTAATATGGAGAGATTTAATATTTAGATTTGTAACTGACAACACCAGTATTAAATATAAAGCAGGAAGAAATGAACACTAAATATTTAATCTAAAATATTCCCTACCTGTTTGGGACAGAAGACCAAATACTCCTTTACAACTTCAATCAAAAACATGGGATTTAATTTTTCATAATATTCCATACTCAGAGGAAGGCCATGCAAGGCAGAAAAATGAAGTTCTGCAGCTTCATTCAAAAGAGTAATGGCAACCTGTTCATTCTTGCTTTTCTTTGAAGCAATAACTGCCTGAAGATAAATTAGGACCTGTAAGAAGGATAATTCTGTATTTTAGAATTTAGGGTGAGCAAATTGGGTGAAATTCTGCCTGAAGACTGCACACAGCTCCAGGAGATTTCAGTGTTAGTACAGTGATCATCTGAAGGTAGCTGTATGCCACTTATGTCTTGTTAATATCAAATTATATGTTTCATATATGGATCTCTCTCATCGCTCATCTATGTGGTCCGATTCTTCACTTCCCCCATAACTTGCATAAACACTGGCACTTCTGCAAATAAAAATAAAGTGTAAAACACTGCTAAATCAGAAGTTAAGCACTTAAGTAATTTGCTAGAGTGGACCCAATGTGGTCAGTGACCCGTGCAATTATAAGTGAGATTTTACCTTCAAACTATTCAGAAACGGTAGCTAAAGCAGAATGTGACCCTCTTGTTAAGCAGCAAGTCCAATTTTATAAATGTATTTGTGTAATTTCTGGATATTATTTGCTTAAGACTAGGTTGGTAAAATAAACCCCTGGTTAAATTGGAGGAAGTTGGAAGTAGTTTCCATTAGCGGTCCTTGACTCTGGAATTTTTTTTCTTACTTCAGTCTGCCAGAGTCAAGATTCGGTAAACTCCAGAGCATCCTTTAAAATACAGAAGATTTTCCTGTTTTACTTCAGGAAGATGATATGGTGGGTAAGATTTTTAAGATGCTTGGCTGTGAAGACTTAATCTATTTTTAAAGAGTTTGGGGGAATGATTTTGAAGTCAATGAATTCACTGATTTGATATCAACATAGGTGAGCAGAACTGCTCCAGTGTTTTTAATATGTTCAATCTGCTTGAAGTGTGTAGAAATGAAGAACACAAATAAATAAAATAAGAAATTGCATTTATATATCTTACTGCAGTTCTTTCAAAGGACTTCTGAATTTCTTTCAGAAATTCCAGCTGGTGCTCTGCTTCTTCAAACTTCCCTTCCAAAACCTGGCACCAAATAATCCCTGTAATTCAATGAAACTCATACAGTAATGCATAAAGTGCTACGACAACAAAAAAGAAATTTAGGCTCAATCACTACTTACTTTATAGTTAATATGATAGTTTAAGCTGTTTTATTCACATATATTCCCCCCAGGTACACATATATCCCATTAAGCATGATCTTAGATTCTGTTTATTAGCAGTGTTAGTTGGGGGCATGCATTCATCCTACATGTTCTCAATCCTCTAATCCAGTGGTGCTTAACCTTTTCTTCCTGAGAGCCAAATGGACATCCAAATGGACATCCTGAGGGCCATCTGCCTGTGGGCTGGATTTGGCCAGTGTTCTGCAACCAGCACCTGGGGCAGGCATGGTGGGCACCAT